ACATTCTTCATGGAAATAGAACAAAGAATCCTGAAATTTATACAGAACAACAAAAGATCCCAAATAGCTAAAGCAATCCTAAGAAAAAAGAACAAAGCTGGAGACATCACAATCCCTGACTGCAAAATATACTACAAAGCCATAGTAATAAAAACGGCATGGTACTGGTACAAAAACAGGCACACAGATCAATGGAACAGAATTGAAAGCCCAGAAATAAAACCACACATCTACAGACAGCTAATCTTTGACAAAGGAGCTAAGACCATACAAAGGAGAAAGGAAAGTCTCTTCAATAAATGGTGTTGGGAAAACTGGACAGCCACATGCAAAAGAATGAAAGTAGACCATTATCTTGCACCATACACAAAAATTAACTCAAAATGGATCAAAGAGTTGAAAGTAAGATGTGAAACCATAAAACCCATAGAAGAAAATATAGGCAGGATACTCTTTGACATCGGTCTTAGAGGGATCTTTCCGAAAACCATGTTTACTCAGGCAAGGGAAACAAACGAAAAAGTTAAAAAATGGGACTTCATCAGACTAAAGAGTTTCTGCAAGGCAAAGGAAACCAGGAACAAAACAAACAAACAATCCATCAACTGGGAGAAAATATTTGCAAATTGTGTATCTGACAAGGGGTTAATCTCCAAAATATATAAACAATTCACGCAACTCAATAACAACAAAAAACCCGATCAGAAAATGCCCAGAGGATGTAAACAGACACTTTTCCAAAGAAGATATACAGATGGCCAACAGGTACATGAAAAGATGTTCAACATCACTAAATATCAGAGAGATGCAAATCAAAACTACACTGAGATATCACCTTACACCTGTTAGAATAGCTATAATTACCAAGACAAAAAATGAATTTTGGAGAGGATGTGGAGAAAAGGGAATCTTTATACACTGCTAGGGGGAATGCAAACTGGTGCAGCCACTATGGAAAACGGTATGGAGATTTCTCAAAAAATTAAAAACAGAAATACCATACAATCCAGCTATCCTATTACTGGGTATTTATCCAAAGAACTTGAAATCAACAATTCACAGAGACTTATGCACCCCTATGTTCATTGCAGCATTATTCACAATAGCCAAGACGTGGAAGCAACCCAAGTGCCCATCAACTGGTGAAAGGATAAAGAAGATGTGGTATTACATAAAATGGAATACTCCTCAGCCACAAAAAAGACAAAATCATCCCATGTGCAACAACATGGATGGAACTTGAGAGTCTTATGTTAAGTGAAACAAGCCAGAGAAAGACAAACACCGTTTGATTTCACTCACATGTGCAAGATAAACAAACACACAGACAAAGAGGACAGATGAGTGGTTACCAGAGGGAAAGGGGGTTGGGGGCTGGGCATAAGGGGTAAAGGGTAACATTTATGTGGTGACTGACAAATAATGTAGAACTGAAATTTTACAATGTTATAAACTATTATCACTTCAATAAAAAAAATTGAGATTATTGTTTAATGAGTAGAGTTTTGGTTTAGGAAAATTAAAAAGTTTTGGAGATGTATAGGGGTCATAGCTGCACAACTACATGAATTTATTTAATGCCACTGAGCTGTACACTTAAAAATAGTTAAAATGATCAACTTTATGTATATTTTACCACAATTTAAAAAAATCCATTGAGATACCATTTCACACCCACTAAGATGACAAAATCAAGTGTTGGCAAGAAGGTGGAGAAAGTGGAACAGTCCTACAGTGCTGATGGGAACATGAAATGGTACAGCCACATCGGAAAACAGTCGGGCAGTTTTTAAAGAGTTAAACATAAACCTACCATAGGACTCAGCAATTCTACTCTTAGGAATCTACCCAAGAGAAATGAAAACATGTCTACACAGAGATTTGCAAGCAAATGTTCCTGGCAGCATTATTCATAATAGCCATGAACTGGAAACAATTCAAAAGTCCATCACCTGGTGGTGGATAAAGAAAATGTGGTATATCCTTACAAGGGAATATTATTGAGTAATAAAATGGAATACTGATGTAACATGAATGAACATCAAAAACATTATGCTAAGTGATAGAAACTACACACAAAAAGCTACATTTTGTATGAATTCATTGAGATGAAATATCCAGAAAACACAATACGTAGAGAACAGTTAGTGGTTGCCAGGGGCTGGCCATGAGAGTGGGCCTTGGTTCCAAATGTCCAAAGGAACTTTTTGGGGCAATGGGAGTGAGGTGAGATGATAATGGTGGCACAACTCTATAAATTTACTAAAAATCATTAAACTGTACACTTATAACAGGTGTATTTTATAACACATAAATTATACTTTAATAAAGCTATTTAACAAACAGGACTAGGGGCTGTTCTTTCTCATAATCCAGGTGTTCCTGACCAGGTGATGATGACCAAAAGTATCCAGCTCCCTGGGAGATGACCAGAATGCATAAAACCTTTACATCATGAGTACGGCTGTGGCAGATGTACAGATCCACAGGCCTTAAGATTCTCTCTACACCCTCATCCTGCAAGCGCCAGCCATCTAACAGTCTGCCAGCTCCCCCATGCCCTACTTCCTCACACCCAGTGTCTCCGCACCTACTTACTATACTCACCTGGTCCTGGTATAAGTACAAGTGGGTGATAGACCACTAGGGTCTGGCTATCAGAGGGCTTCCTCTCAGCACTGCTGGGAGGAGACGTTTCCTGGAACAGAGACCATCACCTTGCTTATTCCAGGCCAACCACTGCCTTCCCCAGGCGAACTGCAGGTCAGAAACTTCAGAACAGAGGCTTCATTCCTTCCCAGGGGACATGGGGTAGAAATGCAAACCAGGTCACGACTGGCTAGAAATGCTCCACACCTTGCTGCTCTACCCTCTGTCAGGTGCTACAAGGCTTCTCAATGGCCAGTCTGGGCGAACCTCTGTTCTGTTCTCAATTTACTCCATCTGCTCAACAGGGCTCCCATAGCAAAGGAGAATTAATTGGTGACATATCCATTATCAAACAGTCCCAGGCCAGCTCTGGTGGCCTAGTGGTTAAGGTCAGTGCACTCCGCTTTGGTGGCCAGGGTTTGGTTCTTGGGCACAGATCTACACCACTTGTCTGTCAGTGGTCATGCTGTGGTGGTGGCTCACACACAAAAAGAGCAGATTGGCAACAGATGTTAGCTCAGGGCAAATCTTCCTCAGCAAAAACAAAACAAGACCCAGTCTAGAGCAGTCTGAGGTCATAGTACCAGGGCTGGGTGAAGACAGGAATGCTTACAAAACCTTTACATCACGAGTACTTGAAGCAGCTCAACAGAAGCATGATGGATGTCAAATGAAGACTTCACAATGTCCATGAACAATGGGAAATTTCCCCAGAAACCACCCCATCAGGCCCCTTGCTCAGAGCGGGAGTCAGGTCCATGCCAAACTCAGTCATGGGTGAGCAGCATGATGCCATCTAGTGAGTACAGGGCCACTCACCATCCCTCCGGGGGAGTGCCAGCTGGGAAGAGGAGGCTGCTTACACCGAGCAATTCAAACACAGAAGGGCTTCTTCCACAGGACCAGCAGTGCAACAGCTCTCCCGAGGTCCCTCAGCAGGTCACAAAGTACAACGTGGCCCCTACAGGCTTCCTCGTGCTCAAGGCAGTCAGGAAGTGGCTCCCCAGGTGGAGGTCCTTCTACATGAGGTCACCTTGTGGAGAAGGCTATTCATATATGGTCTTTCTTGGGTGTTAATTCTTTTATACTGAATGAGGTTTAAAAAAGAGACTGATTATTTAAAATAAAAAATTTTTTAAAAAGGCAGGGGCTGGCCCATGGCCAAGTGGTTAACTTTGCATGCTCTGCTTCAGTGGTCCAGGGTTCACCAGTTTGGATCCTGGGCACAGACCTAGCACCACACATCAAGCCATGCTGTGGCAGCATCCCACATAGAAGAATTGGAATGACCTACAACTAGGATATACAACTATGTACTGGAGCTTTGAAGAGAAAAAAAAAAAAAGAGGAAGATTGCCAACAGATGTTGGCTCAGGGCCAATCTTCCTCACCAAAAAAAAAAGGCAGCTGAAAACTTGACTACATTCACGGCTCTCAAAAAGCTTTTTTCCAGAGTGAAGTTTCTGGTGCTGGGCAAGGTGGGAGCTGTGGGTGACAGCTCTCCCATGCTGGCTGTACTCCTGGGGCTTTCTCCAGTGTGAATCATTCTATGCAAAACAAGGCGGGAACTGCAGATTTTTGCTTTCCTACTTACTACACTTACAATGTAGTAACTTGCTGCTGCAAAACAGGAGTAAATCTGTGAGAAGAGGCTGTTCAACATTAGCTGTACTCATTATGCCTTTCTCCAACGGGGATTGTGTGAAACAAGTTTAATATTTTCCTGAAATGGGGCCGGTCCCAAGGCCGAGTGGTTAAGTTCGTGTGCTCCGCTTTCGTGGCCCAGGTTAGGATCCTGGGCGTGGACCTGGCACCACTCATCAGGCCATGCTGAGGCAGTGTCCCAAATAGCACCACCAGAGGGACCTACATCTTGAACATACAACTATCTACTTGGGGGCTTTGGGGAGAAGAGAAGGGGAAAAAAAAGATTGGCAACAGATGTTAGCTCAGGTGCCAGTCTTTAAAAAAAAAAAATTCCTGAAAGGTTTCACATAGTTACTGCATTTGTACAACTGCTCTCTGGTGTGAATTTCTGGGTGCTAACGAGAGCGCAGCTCTGAACAGAGGTGCCCACATTCTCCACACTTCACAGTCCTTGATCAGTGTGAACGTTTTGGTGAAGGGGAAATTGCAAAATTTTGCTCAAGGCTGGGCCACAGTCCCTGCCTTTATAATGGCTTTCTCTGTGGCAAACGTTCTGGTGCTCAAAGGGACCGAAGCTTTGGCTGGTGGCTTTCCCATGTTACCATACTAGGAACATTCTAAGATGTGAACATACTCCTGCTTTCTGAGGACGGAGACAAAGTTGAAGGTCTTTCCACATTCCCAATGTGCTTGAGATTTTTTTCCCATTTTGAAGTTTTTTGGTGGCAGCAAAGGGTTGCCTCTCCTTGAACATCTCTCCACATGCTATGCATTGGTCAGGTGTCTCTTCAGTGTCAGTTCTCTGTGGGTTCTGAAAAACATGAGGTTGGCAGGGTCTCAGTGTTTGGTGACAGTCAGGTGCTGTGCAGTGAGGGGAGACTAGGCCTCAGACTGTCAATACTGTGCCCACCTTCCTCAGAGGGAACAAGCCAGTCTCATGGAGGAAAAGGTTCTCAAGAACCATTTAAGGATGTGTATTGGCTTAGGACATGTTAAGGGAATGCCAATGGTGGAGGATCTGGCCAGAAGAGGGGAGACAGAGAAAGCGTGAGAGGCAGAGAACAGAGAGTGGTCACCCAGGGGACAGGAGTCAGGGGAAAGTAGGATGGAGTCAGATGGGGGTCAGAAAGATAGAATAAAGGCATGGTTACCCACTTTGGCACCAGGGAAACAGGGCACAGGTCAGGTACCAGGTGAGAGACTAGCCCACTGCCACAGGCACTCCCATATCTGTCTCCCACTCACCAGGACTGGTCTTCCATGGGCCTCTCTGGTTATGGACTGATGCAAGCTTCACTAAGGAGCCCCACTATTTTTCTGAAAGAGGCATGTGACCTTGTCCTCAAAGTCACTGGGCCCTGCAACACCAAGCCAGGAGGCAGATGGATGTGACCTAAGCACTGGGCAAGGGACCTGGGATCCCAGTCTCTGTCATGCTAGCCACCTCCCCTTATGTCTCCCTAACCCTGTCCCCTGACACGCCTGCTCCCCACCTCATATCTAACAGCATAGGCCCTCCTCCTGGATGTGCGCTTTCCCCAGATCCAGTGGTCTTTGGACAGTGCTTTTCTGTTTCTGCACCCACCTCCTCCACCCAGCCACTGGTTCTTAGTCTGGACACCCCACACTCACCTCAGGATGTGTCTTAACCACAACCTAAAACTCTCCTTCCAAAATCCCATTCTCAGGCCCTTCCCTGATCCAGGCCACCAGTGCACTGCAGCCTGGACATCTGGAGGCCAAACGGGAACTCCCTCTGTGTTCATGGGTGGATGTGTCACCTCCACTCAGAGGTCCCAGACAACTCAGATTCTACACCCACAAAACCCAACTGCTAATCTTCCCCAAACATCCTCCTTCTGAGAACCTCTGATCTCCATGGGTAGCACCTCATTCTTCCTAAACACTTGGGACGGTCCTTCATCCCCTACTTACATTCACTCCCCATATGTGGCAGGAAATCCCATCAACCCCATCTTGAAAATCTATCCAGAATCTGATCACTACTCCTACCTCTCCTGCTTCTACTCTGGACAAGCCACATCATAACTGCCAGAAGAATGAATGAAGAATGAAGCAGCAGGCTCACGCATCGCCCCGTTTACAGCCCCACCACGACCCCCCTCCCAACAGTGTGTTCCCACAATATCCACTGGGGTGCTCTCAAAATCCTCTCTCATTTCACGGCCATCTCTCTTCTGTTCAGAATCTTCCCTGTCCCCCAGCACACTTAGCCTGTCCAGAGGCAGGACTCCTCTCCCCGTGCTCTCGGTGCCCCGCAGGCCAGATGCGAGAACTTTCCTGGGTGCCCTCAGGTCGGTCTCACCTCCGAGTCTTCGCACACGCAGATCCCTCTTGCCTGTGCCCTCCGCCTCTCATCAAACCGGATTCTGAAACGGAAACGCCCCCGTGAACGCCCCGCTGTCCTGAGCGCCAAGGCCCGGGGCTCAGTCGGGGACTTGGGACACTGGGGCTGGAGTCCAGCGGGTGGGGGCCAGAAGAGTCCCCATCCGTGCCTGGCCCCTCGGCTCGCTTATTAGCGCTGGGCCACGCCCTCTGGACGCGCGGGCTGTGAGCCTCCGTCCCACTCCGTGAAGAGGTCGCAACGCCAAGGAAGACGAATCCGGGCGGCCATGGGCACTGCCGGGCTTTGGCGAAGGCCCCGGCGGACAGCCCCGCGCCGTAAGGGCTCCGGGAGGCGGGACATTCGCTGCGGCCACGGGGCATGCAGAGCGCAGGGGCGGACCCTCCTCGACGCTCGTACCCTGCCCACTCCCGTTTCCGCGGGCGCGGGTAGCCCCCCGGACGCCGTCCACAGCCGCCGACCCAGTCCCTCAAAGGCCAGAGGCCACAGCGACAGCCCGACACCGGAAGTTCCGCCCCCGCAGCGCGGCCCTTCCGGAAACGCCCCTCCTCCTAGGCTATCACTGACCAAAGTCTGTACGGCACGCCCGATGACGCCCCTCTCCTGGGTCCTTATTGGCCAGGGCAGGACGCACGGCCAGGGGCTTTCTGGGTAGTGTAGTTCGTGTCGCGTGAGCAGAGACGCGAGGCGCGCCCTTTGTGATCACCTAGGCGACGACCAAGCTACTCGCGACCTCTCGGGAGATAGCGTCATAGTTGGCGACGGCCCTGAGCCAATGAAAGCTAGCTCCGCGCGGGCAGCGGAGGATGGGGCGGGACTTCCGTCGTCGCCATTGCAGGCTTCGTTTCGTGGCGGAGGGGCCGTCCGCAGGCGGCCTCCGGGACCGCAGGAGAGGGACCGGGCGGTGCCCGGATCCTCGCCGCGCTGCTGAACGCGTTTTTGCTCCCGGCCAGTGACTCCTCCTTCCCGAGCCTCAGTGTTCCCGGGTGTGGAGTGGACGCGGCGCGTCTCTGCACCCCGCCTTCGTCCCACGGTCCCGGAAGGAGGCGCCCCGGTCCCCAGGCGCATTTGAGACCGGGGAAGACGAGGCCGAGTGCGGCCATCGGCCCCGGTCGCCCGCCCACTGGGGCGTGGGGTTCGGATGAGCCCACAGGCTCCGACGGGGCCGCGGCGTCGCTGATGGACGTGGCGCAGGTGAGCCGGGTGCCCCAGGCCCTCACCCGCCGGGGTCCCCGCCCTCGTGATCCTGGAGCCGCGGCGTAGGGAATAGTGATGTCGCCACGTGAGTCTAGGGCCCTGAGAGTCACTTCCCTCGCATCTTGAATCCAGCCAGAGGTTATATGGAGGAGTTCACGTTTCTGGAATCCTGTGGGATAAGGTCTGGAAGGGTGTCCCGACTACAGGGACCCGCATGTGCACATTGCTTGGAAGTGTTCAGGGAGCCTCATGTCTCTTTCGTCGGGTAGAAATAGGTAGCAGGGAGACTGGAGTTAGGCCTGGAGTGGCAGGCTGAGGAGCTAGGCCTCTCTCCTGAGTGTGGTGGGGGTCACGGAAAGTTTAGAGCAGAGGAGGGAGGTGATCTGGCTCCGGTCTTTACGGGCTCCTTGTGGATTTGAGTGGAGAACAGACTAGGTGGGGTTAGAGGCAGAAACATCATGGAGGTGAGTGCAGTAGTCCAGGTGTGTGCTTTTGGCGGCTGGACCAGAGAGGAGGCTGTGAAGGCAGGAGAAGTCGTTGACTCCTGGATCTACTTTTTAAGTAGGGTGGACTGGATTTCCTGATGTGGGGCAGTGAGATAGCAGGGTTGACCCGGAAGGTTTTGCAGATGTGAAATTGGTGTGAGTAGTTTATAGAGGGAAAATAAAAAGTTGAGTTTTGGCCATACTGTATTTGAGATGTCCCAAGGACTGCCAAATTGAGGGGCCAACTGTGCCTCTGAATATGCAAGTATGGATTTATGCCAGGTCCAGGCTGGAGACATCCAAAGGGTCGAGGCTTGTGTGTGGACGCTGTGCAGCTGTAGATTGGCTTCAGGATGGTGACGAAGCCTCTTTGCAGAGAGTAGACGTGGGACCAAAAAGTGAAGCCTACAAGTAACGGAAGTAAGATGGCAGTGGGTCCTGGGATTAGAATGGTTTCTCTACAGCTCAGCAGGTTTGGGGGCCTGTGGGTTTTGTCCAGCTGTCAGGAGTAGCAGAGACGGAAAAGGGTCAGCCCAAGCTACAAGTCCCCAAGCCACGGGCAGGGGCCAGCAGGTCTAGGATTTATGTATTAGGAAGAGCAAGGACTGCTATGACTGGTGAGGGGACAGCATGTGAAAGAACAGAGGTAGAAGAGAGCAAGGGTGTTTGAAATCTACTCGTGGTTCTTGGGAGGTGACGATTGAAGCAACAGGGTGAGGAGGGGAGGCATTAACTGGAGGGGTGATGGCTGTCCCTGGCAGTGGGGGTTTTGGAGATCTTGGGCAGGCTAGGGTCAGTATTGGGTCCTGATTGCCTTTGTCAAGTATGCCACGTGCATAATGGGATGTGGGGACACTAGGGAGATGCCTGTGGTATGGACAGGTGATAATGGAGAGGAGGGTGGAGAAATGAGGATGGTATGGTCCAAAGAGTGATGTGTACAAGGTAAGGGTATATAAACCAATGGGCCCAAGGCTCTGGTACTAGAGGAGGCTCAAGGAAGAAAGGAGAGCCCAAATTTTCTTATACTTGGGAGGTGATCTGAGGGACACAAGGAAAATTGGCCAGTGGGGGAAGGAGGGGCTGCATGCCAGCCCAGAGCTCAGATATTGTCCTCTGCCCACCTGCCCTTTGTTTCTCTGGGTTGGATTGGCCTCAATACAGTGACCAGTAGAACTACATGTGGAGAGGGACACCAATGGTGCGAGGGCCTGTTATTGCCTCTGAGGTGGGGGCCTGAGGAGGAGTAGGAACTGAGGGGGTCATGAGAAGAGGAGATGCCAGTGGTAGATGTGGCAGAACTCTGAGTTATAGCCCAAGGGCCTGGGGTGTCCATTTGACTATTTTGTTTGTTTTTCAGTTCTCCTATTGGCCCCCTGGCTCACCTGTCCCATCATTTCAGAGCCCCGTGACCTTCGAGGATGTGGCCGTGTACTTCTCTAAGGAAGAGTGGGGGCTCCTTGATGCAGCCCAGAGGCACCTATACCACAATGTGATGCTGGAGAACTTTGAGCTCATGACTTCACTTGGTAAGGCCCTTATGCCCTGCCCTGGCATGGTGACCAGCTTCTGCCTTATGTCTTCTCCCCATAGAAAGTTCTGTTAATCCTAAAACCAGACCATGGATACTTCTTGCTTCCCAGGTACCTGTGGATGCTGGGACTGGGCTTTGTGTACTACCCCTGTCTCTCCCTGGGCAGCCTTATAAGCAATCCTAATAGCTTTGCCCAGGGGCCTTCTGGGAGCAGAGGTTGGGGATCAGGCATCTTTGGTCTGCCTAATGGATCCCACTGAGCTTAACCAATTCCTGGCTGGGTGACCCAGTGTGGGGCCATGCCTAGGTTCTGCCCCTTCCCCCATGAGACATTTTTTAAAAGCAGGTTTCTTGAGATATACCATAAAGTTCACCCCTTTAATGTATACAATCCAGAGGTTTTTAGTATGTTTATACGGTTGTATAAATATCACTATAATCTAATTTTAGAACATTTTCATCACCTAAAGAGAAACTTTGTACCCATTAGCAGTTGCTACCTATCCTCCCTCACCCCTTCCCCCCTGAGTCCTAGGCAACTGCTAATGTACTTTATGACTATATAGATTTACTTATCCTAGACATTTCATGTAAATGGAATCACACAATATATCTTTTTCCCTGACTGGCTTTCACTTAGCATAATGTTTTTGAGGTTCATCCATGTTATAGCACATATCAGTACTTCATTCCTTTTTATGGCCAAATAATATTCCACTTTATAGATATACCACAGTTTGTTTATCCATTCATCAGTTGGTGGGCATTTGGCTTGTTTCTACTTTTTAGCTGTTATGAAAAATGTTGCTATGAATATTCATGTACAAGTTTTTGTATAGACATGTTTTCATTTCTCTTGGGTAGATACATAGGGGTTTCCAAACTGTTTTCCAAATTGGCAACACCATTTTACATTCCCACTGCAGTACCAGTGTTTCCAGTTTCTCTACTGCCTCATCAACACTTGTTACTGTCTTTTCTCTTATAGCTATCCTAGTGGGTGTGAAGTTGTATCTCGTTGTGGCTTGGATTTGCATTTCTCTAATGACTAATGATGTTGAGCATCTTTTCATGTGCTTATCAGCCATTTGTATATATATGTACATATACACACATAGTCATACATTGCTTAACAACAAGGCAGTGTTCTGAGAAATGATTGATGGGTAATTTCGTGATTTTGCAAACATCACAGAGTATACTTACACAAACCTAGATGGTATAGTCTACTACACATCTAGGCTGTATGGTACTAATCTTATGGGACCACTGTCATATATGCATCCCATTGTTGGCCAAAACATCATTATATGATGCATGATTATATCTTTTTTGAGAAATGTCTGTTCAAGTCCTTTGCCGCATCTCTGTGTTCTTGCCTCTGATGAGGCCTCTTTATTCTGTGGCTTGGCAGGCCTTGTCCTGCACAGTGGGCCCTTCATTCTCATTCTGGCCCCCTTGACATGTCAGCAATCCCTTGGACCCATTGATGTGCCAGTCACACATTTCTAATGAGTCATCCTTTCCACCAAGTGGAACACTCAGTTAACTGGGGATTTCTCTGCTTTCAGGTTGTTGGCATGGAGTGGAAGATGAGGAAGCACATTCCAAGCAGACTGCTTCTGTAGAAGGGGTGTCACAGGTCAGGATTCCCAGTGCACATGCTTCCACCCAGAAGGCTGACACCTGTGACATGTGTGGCCCATTCTTGAAAGACATTTTGCACCTGGACGAACATCAGGGAACACATCCTGAGGAGACCCCCTACACATGTGGAGTATGTGGAAGAGAGTTTTGGATCAGTGCAAAGCTTCACCAGCACCAGAAGGAGCACAGTGGGGAGAAGCCCTTCATATGGGACAAGGGCAGGAACTTGTTTGTGAAGAGCTCCATAGTCTACCTGTCAGAGAAGCTCTTCACTTGTGGGGAAGATGGTAAGGATGTCTCGGACAACCATGACCTCCTCCAGCACCCAGCCACTGACAGCAGCGGGCACCCATGTAGGAGCACAGAGTGCTGGGAGGCCTTCCCCCACAGTTCCGGTCTTGGACAGCTCCCAGAAGTGCATACCACACAGAAACTCTTCAAGTGCAGTGCCTGTAGAAAAGACTTTGGGAAGAGCTCCACTCTCCTCAACCACTTGAGAACTCACTCTGAGGGGATACCATTTAGATGTTCGACAGTTGGAAATTCCTTAGAGAAGAAGTCAACTCTTGTTAACCACCAAAAATTTCACACTGGAGAAATATCTTATGTGTGTGAGGAGTGTGGGAAGGCCTTTAGTCACCCATCTAAACTGAGGAAGCACCAGAAATTTCACACTGGAGTGAAATATTATAAGTGCAGTGACTGTGGGAAAACCTTCAGGCACAAGCTCACACTTGTTCATCACCAGAGAGTTCACACAGGAGAAAGGCCATATGAGTGCAGCGAATGTGGGAAAGCCTTCAATAACAGGTCACACCTTACTCGGCATGAGAAAGTTCACACTGGAGAAAGGCCTTTTGAGTGCAGCAAATGTGGAAGAGCCTTTAGCCAAAGCTCCAATTTCCTTCGGCACCAGAAAGTTCACACCCAAGTAAGACCTTATGAGTGCAATGAATGTGGTAAAGCCTTCAGCCGCAGTTCTGCTCTCATTCAGCACTGGAGAGTTCACACTGGAGAAAGACCTTATGAGTGCAGTGAGTGTGGAAGAGCTTTTAACAATAACTCTAACCTTGCTCAGCACCAGAAAGTTCACACCGGAGAACGGCCTTTTGAGTGTAGTGAATGTGGAAGAGACTTTAGCCAAAGCTCCCATCTCCTTCGACATCAGAAAGTTCACACTGGAGAACGGCCTTTTGAATGCAGTGAATGTGGGAAAGCCTTCAGCAACAGCTCTACACTCATTCAGCACCAGAAAGTACATACTGGGCAAAGGCCTTATGAGTGCAGTGAATGTAGAAAAGCCTTCAGCCGCAGCTCCAGCCTGATTCAGCACTGGAGAGTTCACACTGGCGAAAGGCCTTATGAGTGCAGCGAATGTGGGAAAGCTTTTGCTCACAGTTCCAGTCTCATTGAGCACTGGAGAATTCACACAAGAGAAAGGCCTTATGAGTGCAGTGAATGTGGGAAATTCTTTAGCCAAAACTCCATTCTCATTAAACATCAGAAAGTTCACACCGGAGAAAGGCCTTATGAGTGCAGTGAATGTGGGAAGTTCTTTAGCCGGAAGTCTAGCCTCATTTATCACTGGAGGGTTCACACTGGAGAAAGGCCTTATGAATGCAGTGAATGCGGGAGAGCCTTCAGCAATAACTCTCACTTGGTTCGTCACCAGAGAGTTCATACACAAGAAAGGCCCTATGAGTGCAGTCAGTGTGGAAAAGCCTTTAGTGAAAGATCCACACTCGTTCGACACCAGATAGTTCACACCAAAGAAAGGACTTATGAGTGTGGCCACTGTGGGAAAATCTTCAGCCGCCTATGCAACCTTGCTCAGCATAAAAAAATTCATACCTGAACCGAGCCTGATGGAAATGGCCTTTGTAAGAAAAATCTTAAGCCAAGTCAAATTTCATGCAGTAGAATACCCACAGAGGAATTACCTACATGTACCACTAATATAGAAAAACCTTTGGAAGCTACTCTGCCCTTTCTGAGCAGCCCAGGAACCTGGGCAGAGCTGTCTTCCCCGTGGAGCATGAACCTCTTTCCAGGCTGCCTGGATCCAAATATTTGCAGCAGTCAACTACATATGCTTGGAGAAAACAGCTCCCTGTGTCTCCCTTCCTCTTTCCTGGAGGGAATCTGGATTGTCCTGGGCCCTTTGGAATGGCTTCATTCCCATTGCCTCTGAGAGAGTTAGGGAATGAACTGACCCCACACTAGTGAAGAAGCCTTGAAGAATGTCAAGTTTGGGCTTCTTAAGAAGATGCATGTTCTTCATGGATGTGGTCAAGTCTGCATGTAATCCCAGTGACGTGTCCAGTAAGCCCACAAATCACCCTCCCCTGGCACCATCTACCTTGGTCTGCTCTATCCTGTGTGATAATAAAGACTTTATTGGTCAAGTCACCTTTAATCTTGGGGGTTGTGTTGGGGTAGGCTGAGAAAAGAAATGGGTAGAGTAGGGGATGGCCAGTAGGGGGCACCCAACAGTATCTGTCTCAGGGTACGGTAGGAATACGGGAACTCACTCTGTCCTGTTGTGGCCTACTTTGCATTGCTGCCTGAAGGACTGGGAAAAACTGAAGGGCTCGTGGAGTGGACACAGTGGCCTGTTTCAGAGTTAACTGTGGCCACATCCCACCCTGAGGAAGGAGTATGTTAGGCTTCAACACTAGAATGTTGGGTCAGGGGTAGGTCCCTAGTTCCCAGTGGGAAGTCTGGGTTTCTCCATCTGTCTGAGGAGAAGCTGTGTTCTGGTTCCTGATGAGGATATATGACCCTGGGAGACCAGTAGATGCCCAGTGGGTACTCTGTGTGGATAGAGAAACACTGGGTGTGAGGTAACGGAGTTGGGGAGACTGGTAAACTATAGGCTCATGCTCTCCCAGTCAGGAGCAGCCACAGTTCTCCATCAGCTGTGGTTATGCAGGATGAGGCAGTTAGACCAATCTGAGACCTGAAGGGGCATGTGGGAGCCATCATGAGTACAGAAACACTGGGCAGTGTCGAGAAGACTGCTAAACTAGAGACGACTTAGTTGTTCCAAAGGTGCATCAAAACTCCTCCGGGTGACTGACCAAGTGGATAAGAGTGTGCAGAACTCAGGACCTGCAGACCTGTGTATTGCCCACAGCTGAAATACAAGTGTTTTAACCTCCCTGAGCTGTTCATCTCATGGCTGTCACTGCTCAGGTGTCACTCTCACTTCCCCCAACCCTGAGGGAAAACAGAGCTCATGGTATGGGGAGTCGTTTATGTGAGTAGCCAGGGTTTCTAGAGAATCGCACAGCCATTGGCCTTCATTACTCTACCTCTGTGCCTCCAAGCAGGTCTGTCCCTCAGGGGTGGGGAGACAACATGGTGGAGTTAATATGGGTTTCCCAAACCTCCTGGTTTTCAAAAAAGATCCAGATATTTGGATTTTTATGTGGCTTTTGATTTTATAAATGTTGGAGCCATTTCCAAAAACATTCCAATACAAAAGCAGTTTACTGAAACCTCTAGGTGGGTTATGTATATTCTCCTGGGCCCTTCCAAGAGTCCTGGGGGAGAAGGACCAGGAGTCCTCTGATGTGAGAGGCTTTGGCCTGCAGTGTCCATCCATACTGTGTGGTGGGTCAGAAGCCACTGCTGCTGCCACCTCTTCCCAGGGTGATTCTCCCCAAAGCCCCCAAAGGGACAAGGAATGATAACATCAGGGGCAGAAGCAAAGGCAGGCTTGCAGTCAGCACAGTTTACAGCAGGGCTGCTCAAGTACTCCCCAGCACCATGAGGTGTTTGGGGGATCCCCCACCCTGCACAGGCCTTCCTGGGTGTAATAATTGTCTTCCACCAACACGGAGGCTCATGTTGGATCAGTTATAGGCCTGCTGAGCTACACGGGATTCAGGCCTCCAAGCAGATTGGGGTAGGATAGATACTGGTCATCAGAGCTCAGTCCTTTGTGCCCTGTGTGGAGGGCCATGGTTAGATCTCATAAAATGGCCCTCAGTTCACGACTAAAGAGTCTTCTGTGCTTGCCCTGAACTGGCCTTCCAGTCTCCCAGTGGGGCTCAGTACACAGCAGCCAATCTGTTGAGGAAGGGAGATGTTTGCCAGTGATGCCAGAATACTTCAGGCAAAGGCCTGATGGCTGTGACCACTGGCTGCCCAGGATACCAGTCTGTGTGGGGCTGTGTAGTTGCATTGCTTTCAGCCCACCCTCAATCCAACAGGCAAGTGCCTTCAGGCCTTTGATGCAGTCTAAGACTGATCCTGTGCACTCAGCCCTAGCCAGTCATAACTCTTCTCTGGGCTCTCTCCAGCAGTTCCCTGCCCTTGGACCTTTGCCTGTGCCCTCCCCAACAAGGGATACCCTCCACCGTCTTCTCAACCTCTCCCAACCTTGCCTCTCCGTCTCAGCTGCATTATCGCTCCTCCGTGTTGGTGTCAGCCTCTCTCTGATGTCTGAACCTTTGGTCTGACACCAGTCCTCTGCTACCATGTCTTCCCACAACTGCACCCACAGATGCAAATGTTTCAAATCTCAAGGGTATGTTTGCTTTTCTGAAAGCAACAGAAATGGCTCAAGGTGTCACTGACCCTGGAGACTAGTGCTAAACAAGGTGTTCTTAGAATTTTAAAGGTCATATGACTTAGCTCTGGCTGCTATAACAAAATACCGTGGACTGGGTGGCTTAACAGCACTAGAATGTCAGTAATCACCACTTCCTTTCAACATTCCACTGGAGGTTCTAGTCAGTGCAGTAAGGAAAGAAAAAGAAAAGGCATCTGGATTAAAAAGAAGTAAAACTTACTTTATTCACAGGTAATACAGTTGTCCATGTACAAAAACCCTATGAAATATAACAAAAGCTAATAAGCAAACTGGGGCCCCACTGTCCCCTTTCTGTACATAGAGCACAATTCTGTTCTCAAAATACCCCACAAAACGAACACAACCCCCAAGATTACAGGTGGCTTTAAAAAAAAAAAGACCTGTGTTATATAATTTAGACCAGTGTAAGGTACTACATTCCAGGGATGAGTGATTTGAAAGCTGGACAAATCCATGACAGGTATATGTACAGTCAACAGTGTCCATAAAAAAAAATCTTTGATGCAAGCCCCCGGACCATCACTGGTTGGAGATGGGCCCCAGGGTGGGAAGGGTCAGGTCCTGAGGGAAATGGGCAACCATGGGCCTGGATCTCCAGTCTCCTTTGGGAAGGATCCTTTGCTGCATGGAGAGGAGAGGGGGAAGATTCCCTGAACATGTTGGCATCCAGGTGAAGGGGGAGGTTACTCTACAGCAAATCCAGTTACTCTTCTAGGTCTCACACTCCAGGTCCACCCAGCTCACTGTGGGGAAATAGAGACATGAAAATTAATCATTAATGCTGGCGGAAGAATAGATATAGATCAATGGAACAAAACACAGAACCTAGAAATGGACCCATACATACAGGCCCAAAGGATTTCTGACGAAGGTGCAAAAGCAACTAAATGGAGGAAGAAGAGTTTTTTAAACAAATGGTGCTGGAACAAATGGACAGCCACAGGCAAAAAATAACTTAAATCTCACACCTTACACAAAAATTAACTCAAAAAGGATCACATTTAAATATAAAACAGAAAACTAAAATTTTTAGGAGAAAATTTTTGAGACTTAGGGCCAAGTGAAGATTTCTTAGACTTGATTAGAAAAGCACAATTGATAAAAAGAAAAAGTGGACCTCATCAAAATCACTTTAAAGTTAGAAAATTATAGAAGTAAGTGGATTAGTGGCTGCCAGGGGTTAAGGTTGGGGATTGGCTATGAAGGGGCAGCAGGAGGGCAATCTTTGTGGTGTTTGACCTGTTCTGTATCTTGATTGAGGGGATAAGTTACATGAAGCTACACATGTGATAAAATTGCATAGAACTACACACGTGTGTGCAGGTATAACATGAAATCTGAATAAGCTCTGTAGACTGTAAAAAAGTAGAATCATTAAATGTTAGATTAAAAAAAAAAGCACTACATGAAAGCAGCAGCCATGATGACTTCCCTTCACTAAAAGGTAAACGCCAAGTGCAGCATCACCTGAGCCCCCCCGGAGATGGACATGAGGAGAGACCAGAGGTCCCGAAATGCAGACAATCAAGAAGGCCCTCAATCGACACACCAAGAGTGCCCTTTCTTAGCCCTTGTCACTGTCGCCAGTTGTGTGGTTTCTTGAGGGATGTCTGTCTCCTCACGTCTTAGTCCACTCCGGCTGCTATAACACACCATAGCCTGAGGGCTTACAGACAACAGAAATTTATTTCTCAGGTAGAGAGGCTGGCAAGTCCAAGATGAAGGTGCAGGCAGATTTGGTGTCTGGTGAGGATCTGCTTCCTGGTAAACAGCCTTCTTCTCACTGTGTCCTCACACAGCACAAGGAGGGAGGGAGTTCTCGGGGGTCTCTTATAAAGGCATTAATCTCATTCCCGAGGGCTCCACTCTCAGAACCTAATCACTTCTAAACACTATCACAATGGAGATAAGTTTTACCCACTGTATTTTGGGGGGACACAGTCTCTATCGCCCTACTAGAAAGTAAGTTCCATGCAGGAGGCCCCTGTGTTTTTCGTCCCTGGTGGGCGAGTTCAGTCCCCAGCACACAGCAGCAATTCACCAGGCATGGGATAAACAGGTAAGCAGACTCAGGCAATTTGCTGAATGCAGGAAGAGGGATTTTCTACTCTTTCACTTTGATGTCCTTCCTTCTCTCCCTCCCCAGAGTCAGCTGTGGTGACAGGGCTGTGGTCTGGGCCCAGCACAGTCCTGCAGAGCAGCCAAATACTCACTCAACAAACATTCTCCAGGGTCTACTGTGTGCCAGGCCCTTGCCTGAGCTCTGGGATAGACACATTTCATCTCGAGTCAACGCGCGATGCAGATTTAACGTGCAAAGACTAAACAACAGGGCCACTGCAGAGAGTGGTTGGGGCTCTGCAGGAAATGATGCAGGTGACAGGAAGTGATGACTGCCTCTTCAGAGTGACGGTCGGGAACACCTCTCTGAGGAGGTCACTCCAGAAGAAGAGTATTCTGGCCACAAGGAACTGAGTGCAGAGGCCCCAGGCAGGAGTGAGCTGAAGAGTTTAAGAATGAGGAGACCTGTGGCCTGTGTCGGGGAGGAGCAGGGCATGGGGTTGGGAACCAAGTCATGCCGGCACTGTAAGCTGGGGTGGAGTTTGGTTTATTCTAAGCCCATTAGGAACCACAAGATGGATGTGGCTGCTTGTGGTGAGGCTGGGCGGAGGCTGACTTTCACATGCAGGTGCATGCTGCCGGGAGCTTCCCAGGGCAGGAAGGGCAACTCAGAGTAAGAGACAGAGCGGACTCATGATGAGCCTTTGCATTGGTGGAATCTGGGCCTCCGGAGCCTGACGCAGCTTTCACCCGTC